AATTGTGGTAAAAATATTGGCTTTAAATGTATCTTGGCTACTTCAAATAAAAGACAGTGTTGTTTAAAGGTAGATGTACAATTAATATACCTAAAATATATTAATCATAGCATTAATCAACAATAATTTAGTAACCAATATATATATATATATATTTCCATCCAAAGTAGACTGAATTTCATGACTCAATACACACATTCTTAGAACAACTTGAATTATTGGGTCCTACAGATCCTGCTTATTATGGTTCAGGTCTTAACATTGTTTTTGAACTACTTAGCCTGCGTAGAATTGTTCGTAATATGGATTCACCCTTTAGGGTTAAAATATTTATCCTAATACCATCTCACCTCTTAATAATTTCTTTACTCAATTGAAATTTATATTAGGGTAACTATGTTGAACATAATGAAACAACAAATATATTTTGGTTTACTGATGGTAAAAATATGAGTTGGTTAAATAAAGATCTTACATATCAGGTATTTAAAAATTTTTTTTTGTATCTCTGTTTGTTTATGGCATATTGATTTAAATGATATATTTAAAAATCATTTACACAGGGTTCCGAATCTCAATCACCTAGTGCAACAATTTACAAAACAAAATTTCGTTGGGATCAAAAACTTTATATATTCTTAATTACACAATTTCAAAATCCACAAAATCCAATTACAGAAATACCACCACCAAGTTTGGATTGGATTAATATGGTTATGCGTGGCAAGTAATTTTATAAAGTTTTCAACACAAAAATAAAATGAATGAATTGATTATTGATCAATCAATTGATTGGATATTTAGGACATATGTATTATATACATACACGAGGACAAATGTTACACGCTATAAGAAGTATACTAGGTATCGAAAAAGAGCCATATAAACTTTCAAAAAATCCATGTCAATATTCAATATTTCAAACATGCGGAGTACATTTAATTTTTTCAGAAGCTCAAAGTAGGCCTAATAAAAAAAAATAATATATAAATATATTTATATTATTTGATGACAAAATGATTTCATTAATACATTCATATATTTATTTATAATAGTAGGAAATAGCTCATCTCA